GGATCTCACAACCCACATGACCCAAGTATGCCTGAAATTTAAAAAAATGTTATAATTTGATGAAGTTTAAAAAAAAAAGAAAGAAGCAAGTGGGCCGTTTCGGTGTACTGGTGGTTTTAAAGGAATGGGTGGAGCAACAAAAAAAAAAAACATGAATCAATTCTTAAAACAATATTCAAAAAAATAAAAACGATACTCAACTGAAATAAAATAATAGCAGATGTAATGCTGCCACTCAAAGCTTCCAAATAAGGGAATATAAACCCATTTTCTCTTGAAGTGGGTCCTTCCATTTGCTATGAAACTTTTGACATGTTAGGCTTATATACAACAGTTTATGTAATCGGTTTGTGATGTATACATTTTGTCTGTTGAAAATGTATACATCACAGACCGGGGGAGGGCGGCGAACTGAGAGATGTCACCCCGATATTCTCATCTGGGTATACGATTTAACGATACTCATCAAATTTTTGTGGCTAATACAATAACATTCGATCTTAGAACTTCCAGTGCATTGATCATTTAAAGTTGAATACACTGTAATAAAAAGGGTTTCGCATCGTGATGAGAAATAATAACGCAAATCAAGAATATGAATGTTGTATGAAAGTTGAAAGAAGTATAGATTTTCTTAGCTATTCGACATCATTTTTCATTCAAATTTACAAACTCTAACTTTCTATTTCGCCCGAGAAAAAATTTCACACGCTTTTAACAAAACTATATGCATTTACAATTCAATTTCAAAGTTTGGTCACCCTCTTTAGTCACCGAGTCGAGAATATTCGTCATTACAGATCAAATTCGTCGAAGCTGTTGCCAAATGACAACATTCAGTGATCGAATTAGTCTTGTATACATGTAAATCAATTAGACGAATTTCTGAATGACAAGGTTTGGCGTAGACAAGTCGAAATTAAATACTCAGTACGACAATACTCCACTATGGAGGGATGTACTCAATGGAAGAAGAAGAAAACGTTGTGTTCATCGTTTGAATTTGCTTGAGCTTGAAATTGTCTGACAACAGACGAAATTTAACATTGGAAGTGCACTAAATCGATGTTGATGGTCAAATTTGAATATAAGACATAAACGATAAACGTTTTAAAATAACAGGGAAACTTACATTAACTAGCAAGAACTCACGTTTTTATCCCAGATTTTTCTCATTCTCAAACAAACTGTGGATCGGGGAACAAAGGTTTTTGATATGGCACATTATAAAATACATAACTGGAAAGTTTTGTAGAATTCGGCGGACAAGATCGCGTATTTCAAAACTAAAGCGTTTTCGGGCTCTCGTCCAATGGAGTAACACAGTCCCAACTCGTATAGTTTGAGTTTAAGTCATTTGTAACCATGATCGATATCGTATCACAAGTCACAAGTCGCCTGATATACACTCATAAATAGGACAGTTCACCCTTTCCTGTGGGTCAAACACATGTCACGTGGCCAGTTTCAAACGTTCAATATCGATGAAGACCGGCTGACTGGATTTCGGCAATGACGAATAAAATGTTGACTCCTATGATATCTAGAGGCGTTGCGACCTCGCGTTTCAAGAGGCAGAGGGCGTGCTTCGTGTGCGAGGGGTAGCCCAATTTGGCGCTTTATCGCTATCGATTTTAAAAAGCACTGGCTGTTGCTGCACAGAATTGCAGGTTTTTGAGGGTTTCAAATCAATATATTGGGTGAGTAAAGCAAATGTACCCTTGTCATTATGGTGCATATAAAGTGGGGTACATACAGAATAAAGTGCACTAGTTTGGGTTTATTTCTTCTAGTTAAAAACGGCGTTGACTCATTTCATCGCCATGACCCAGGGTTAATGATTTGCTCGTTTAAAGTCATTGTATGTTTCAGTAAAGGTTAAAGTTCATGGCCATCACACTGTAATGTTGATATTGCCTGGGACCTGATTGTTGCAATAACACCTCTTAATGTTCATGTTCCCTTTTTGTTTCTATGCAGCCTATAAGTCCAACTGCAGACAGAGAGGGTTGCCACAAGGGGAGGGGCTACTGCTATTTTAAACAAACACCGATCTGTATGACTTTAAGTCCCGTGAAATCTACTTCTGCCTCAACTTAACATGTAAGAGCCGGTAACCCCAAGGACTGGTGCTACCTCATTATTACCCCCTGCTTATTGGCCCCATGAAACATTCCAAATACCGTCTCAGCTCCCTGGGGAGTAGACAGCTTGATGCAGCTTTTTTCTCCAATGACCCCTTAGTCCTACAAGCATGACAACCAGAGCCTCTTTAGCAACCTCTTCATTGCTTTCCTCTGCCAAGATGCCCAAGTCAACCTTTCAAATGCTCGCTTCATACCTCTATCGTACTCTACGTGTTGCTTAAGATGCATACTATGTATTACCAGAACAGCTACCTGTTATTGTTAAAACAACAGAAGATATCATTAAATTACCGTGGGCGTTATTGATTGAATGCTTAGTGTATTATGCGACCTGTTAACGATGTAAAAACCAACCGGAGTGTCGAGGCAAACACAACATAACACTAACAGGGTTTGAACATTTTGAGGGAATATTTGTGGAGAAAACAAAAACCGAAGACAACCCTCAAAAAAGCAATACGAAAAGGATGCGACCATGGCGAGCATTCGTCTAAAGTAGCCTCATCGCAACCGTATTAATTAATTCACATGTCATCATGGTCATAAGCCTAACCGACAAAACTAAAAAAGAAGAATTGATTTATAGAACATAAAGAAGGTTGCTGGATGTATGAGGTGCCCTTTATGACTTTATTATGATACCAATATATATAGAACGAAACCAATATATATAGAACGTAACTCCAATATATATAGAACGAACATCCAATATATATAGAACGTAACTTCAATATATATAGAACGAAACTCAAATATATATAAAACGTAACTCTAATATATATAAAACGAGGCAAAATATATCTAAAACGAAAATGAAAAATATATAGAACGAGCTTTGCAATTCTATACAACGAAGCGCCACCAACGACGATAAAGGGTGATGTCGCAAATATATAGAACGAAACGAGTTGCAAAATATATAAGACGAAGCGCCCTCTACCGACAACGTACGGACAGTCAACGTCTGGTTTCTGTTCAGATGAATCGCGTGTGCGCGCGCTAATTATTAGCACGGTGCGCGCCTGACTAAGCCAGTGATCAGCCCACATGCTGCATGCATGACATGTGCGCTTCATCGTTCTGCCGCGTCAACTTTAAATTCCGTTTTTGAGACAGTAGTAGCTAGCTAGGCCCACTCCACATTCGTTGTCTAAACCAAGACATCATGGCGCGAGACGTTCCGCACAGTGTTCGAGATGTTGTGGCGAATTTATTGCATAATCGCCGATTTCATGAGCTGGTGGCAACAGTAGGACCATCAACAACGGCGAATGCTTGGAATGCTGGGCAGGTTCCGTCAGTGTCATCAGACATGTCAGACCCCGAGTTATCGCGACTGTTCCGCAGCAGTCGCCATGCCCATGGTGGAGGTGGTTGCAATACTACACCCGTTAAGCCCGGTTCATACCATGGCACCATTTTATAATCACTGGAGGGCGGCCTTTTAAGCCATAACAGAAAAGACTGGTGCCGCAAGTTAAAGGGCATTCCTCATCACATATGTAGTCTGGGGGACGTCCTGAGCAGACGACAACTTGCAAGTGATTGCGTGGGTACGTGCTTGCGCCCGCCTAGAGCCGGCCGACCGGCCGAGCGCTTGCGTATACTGGACCGATCGTACATCAGTACAGTTGCATGATGGAGCCGGAGGTTGCCGACGGGGATGTGTCTGCTTGCTCCAGTTTTGTCACTAAAAACACTATAAACGCAGAAAAGCTAGTAGAACTTGTGAGAGGTTTCCCGCACTTGTACAACACATCACTAGTAGACTACAAGGATCAGATAAAGAAATCCAACAGCTTGAGGAATATTGCCCAGACTATCGGAGAAGGGTACTCGCCGACAAGCAAGTTCAACTTTCAATTTTGGTTGGCCTGTGCTGTGTCATGTGTGTGGATAGCCCCATAAATGTTGCCTATTTACTGGACTGCCTCCGTAAACATAGGCCACACATCCACATGTACAAAAACGGGTCGCACTTTGCCAAATTTTGATTTTCACATTTAGGCTTAGTTTGTAGTATATTGTTTTGCTTTAGAAGCATACTCACCCTCTGTATAATTATAGGCTAGTCAGAAAGTGCTGCCTTTTTCAGATGTCTAATTTTTGTGAAATTTCATGTTGAAATTTTGAAAAAATGAATCTGGAAATTTCACGAAAAATAAACATCTGAAAAAGGCAGCACTTTCTGATTAGCCTATAAAGAGGGTGAGTATGCTTCTAATTTAAGCAAAAAAACCTACAAACTAAGCCTCAATGCAAAAATCAAAATTTGGCAAAGTGTGACACGTTTTTGTACATGTGGATGTGTTTACGGAGGCAGTCCAGTAAATAGGCCACATTTATGGGGCTAGTGTGTGGAGATTCCTTGCTGTTGTAAAATAGTATGGGAGATGTTGCACCCCAACTCTGGCAACCGTGCCGACTATGGTTCATACATCCTACTCGGTCCCAGTCCCATAGTACAGGGTGGCTAAAAAAACAAAACCGAGATATTATTGATAATTAGGCCTAGGCTAGGGCCTACATGTTACTGTAGGCCTACTAGTACTAGTGTTAGTAATTAGCATTAGTACAGAAGTAGGACACATGTGAATCAAAGGGAGATATCCTCTGTTAGGGTTGAATCTCCTCTTTAAAATTACACCCTCGGCCTAATAAGTAATATTTCGGGTATTTTTTATCCACCCTGTAGTTTGGCTATTAGTGCCAAACTGTATGGTTAAACTATGTATTAAGACTAGGGCTAGGCTGTACCCAACAACTGAATGAGCCATATCCGCCCTAGGATAGTCTATAGCATAATTGGCGTAGTGGCACAGGGGGTGACTGCTAGGTCCAACTATCAGGCCACACAAAATTAACTTTTCCCCACAATAGTGATTTACTGCTGTATGGCTCATTTTACCATGTTTACAAATTACAGAGGAAGTCTAGTAATATTTGAGCCAAATTTATGGGGCTATTAAAAGTAAACAAGAGCTTGAACTCTTGAAGTTGTGTTTAAATGGTGAGTGACCCTATGTACAGTTGGTCTTTACTTCTCATAAGTTGATTGATTGTGCCCTTGAATAATAGTTTATTTGTTTCTTTTAATCAAAGTCATTCCTGTTTATCTCTCAGAATGTCAAAAAAGATTCAAAGGATTGAAAGACACATATTTGAAGGAGAGAAAGCGTCTGAGGACCTTGAAGAGTGGGGCAAGTGGGAAGCATAAGAAGCTGTGGACATATTACTACACAATGGACAGTCTCTTAGGAGAGTTTCAGGATTTAGTGGAGTAAGTGTTCAAGCCCATCCAAATAAATAATATTGTGTGAGGTGGAGAAATAGTACATTTTCTTTGCCCTTATTGCCAAAAACAGGAAGGGAATGAGGGCGGTCCTTTATTATGCCCTTGCCTTCATATGCAGTCATTCAACAAGTATATAACTGGATAAATGTTTTGCTTTGATGTCACATGTTGGTTTATATGGTTACTTTGTGTTTCAGCTTTTACAAATTGATCAGAATTTTTTTTTGGTGTACAGCTGTACTGTACGTACTCTAATCTTGCAAAAGCATAGAAAAATATACAGCTGAAATTACTGCTGCCTTGAAAAATAACATACATGTAAATAGGCATTGACTTTACAATTTTTGCTTTTTTTAGGAATTGCCTTCATTTTGTTTTCTTTTTTTTTTAAAGAAAAAAAAAAGAAGATTCTCATGATTTGCTTTTGTGGGTCGGGTACATGTAACTGGAAATGGGTAGTTTTAGACCCCAACTAGTTGCAGGAGTAGGAGGCGTGGTGGAAAGGGGACTGTCATCTGCTGTGTAACCCATTTCAAAAGTCTCCTCTTTGTTCCCCTTTTTTATTTCAACCTTTAGAACACATGGCAATATTGAAGTTTGCTTTGAAGAGCCAAAAGATGACACCAGTAGTGGCACAACAGGAAACGAACTTCCATGCTCGAATATTCTTGCTGTTCCTTACCCACCCAAGAAGCGAATCCAGGAATTTGATATTTTGGAAGATGCACTCTTGAAAAGCATCAATGCCACAAATGAGGATAGCTTGTTTGCCCAATCAGTTGGGCAGACTTTGCAAAGGTTGGGCAATGCCCAGAAAGCTTTGGCAAAAATTAAGATAATGCAGATCCTCTTTGAAGCCGAAGCAAGTTCCCCCGCAGAATAGTAAAATCTAAAAACAAAACACAATTCTAAATTATATTTAAAGGGAAGATACAACCTTTGCAAATATCAAAAAGCGAAATGATCAAATTATCACGAAATACCTTTCTGAATTGTTAAGGAATGATCAAATTGGGCAAACAGGCTTTCCTCGTTAGTAGCATCCTGTTAAATTGTGGCTAAAGGTGTGCTGACATTTTCAAGAAAAATTGTATTTTTTCAAAGCTGGTCGGCCGACCAGCGTTGGAAAAACTGGCTTTTTTCAAAACTACTCCAAATTTTTCATATTTAGAATTCCGAATTTTCTTTGCAGTTGATTACACCATTTAAATGGTCCGTGATTACACACCTATCCTATGAAGGGGTACAAACCTTCTAGACTGTTTTTTTATACCTTTCAATTTTCAAGTCTATAAATTGCTTCGTTTCATCTTAAGGGGTGTCAGGGAGCCAGACAACAAGAACATGATTGATTTTCTTGGTTTTTCCAGCATCTACAATCCCAAAAGTGAAACAAGTCAGTTTAACAATATTTGTTATATAACCAACATACAGACCCTTGTCATTTGATTGGTGGAACTCACATCACATGACATTCGTTATTGCTCCCATTCACGCCGCGGCTCAAAAAGTACTATCCGCCCATGGGGAATGGGAAATACTATTAAACAGTTAAGATCATAATGCAGTATTTGTGTGCAAATGCATGCTGGTGTGCGCGTTCAGCGTTGCGCGTAGCGCGTATTGTTCCAAAGAGCCAGTGCTACAGCATTTTTGTGAAGGGGTGGTTTGGAAGAGAGAAATACATTTTCCTCCAGTTTTGTATTGAATAAAAGTTCACATATATATCAAATGACAAGGATCTTTATGTCAGTTATATAACACAAATATTGAATGGCTTTCAATTGTGAAATGGGAGGAATATTCTTGCTCAGTAAACTCGAGAGTTTTCCAGTTCATATGGAAAAGTCCAGGTTTTTAGCTTGCGATAATATTCCTCCCATTCCACGATGATCCACTAAATATTTGTATACTATAACATACTAATCCTCCAAATCCATTTATTTCTGGTTTTTTTCCAATGTACCATGATGTCTCAAAACCACCAAACTCACTGGTTTGACTAGAATCCTGCTGCTGCACAATTTTAACGTGTTTTTAGATGGGGTTACGATCGAGTATAAGCTTTATGAGGCCCCTCTGGGCTCCCATACATTTTGCACTAATTTTAGTCGGGCACCATCTGCAGTCAACAGCCGAGATTTGAAGTTGTCAGTTGTCAGCCGAGATTTGAAGAAAAACAAAGTAAAAATAAATAGCCGTGTCGCTGCATCACTTTTGGGGGCAAGCTCCATACCAGAAACCAAAGACTTTTTCTGGCCTTACTATTGTAACCGGGGAGAGTGAAATATATTAGTTTTAAAATGCGGCACTCTCCTTACAACCGAGTGGTTCCACTAATTTAAAATAATTTGGGTGGAGCAAAGTTTTCTGTTTGTCTCAATAATATCAAATGTTTTATTTACAGTACAAATATGAGACAATATATATACAAATGATCAGGTTATTACAAAAAGAATTATAGTAGGAACTTTGGGTATGCACAATAACATCATTCAGTACTGTTATTGGATACAGGGAACATGACTGAAATTGTGGCAGCTTGATAAAGGTCTATGGAGTACGGAAGTGAATACGCCATGCGCACAAATTAGCAACGTTTTCGACAAAAATACACTTAACAATATTCAGTCCTGCTGCCACATCACTGAAATTGAAAGTGGTGTTGTTCCCTTTAATTTAAATCATATTTGTGGTACTTTTGCTTTGATAATTTTGATAAATTTCATTACGTTCCACTTTTCAACGGTGTCCACTTTTGCGAGCACTTGTCAAAAAGCATTTTGTAGGCCAGGTTTTTCACCCTATTCTTCTATGACACTGGTCCTTAAAATTGAAATTAAAACAGAGTATTATTCAATTATTTAATGTACATTCACCTCACAGTTAAAAAGAGATCTATGCATTATTTATTGTAATATAATAATTTAAGCTTTATAGTGTGCACAGCGTACATGTAGTTTGTCATGTCTGTATACTAATTTATGATTTTGTTCAAAATTATTATATTTTAATATATTTACAACTTCTTGAATATGATTACAAGTTTAATTTCAATTTTACAACAGGCAATGACATTAAAAGTTATGTTAAGAATTTAAAAGTTTTGTAAAGCGTGTGTTTCTGTTTATACACAGAAGGTCAGTACAACTCCAAGGGTCCTTCTTCTTGCCAATATGTTCAGTAATACATTTTGTTTGGATGTCATTACAATTTAATCTCGTTACCTCTGCTTGCCTTTAGAATAATAAACATCATCAGGTCTAGTTTATTTTACAAAATCTTCATAATTACAAGATGGCCCTTTAAAGGTGTGACAGGCATAAATTTACATAATTATAGCACTTGCACAGTGCCCTTGCTTGCCATGTGTCAGTTAACAATCTTGCATGCACCATCAGAGTGACCGATTTTCAGCTAGATCTAACAATTGTTTTTGAAAAAACGAAAGTAGCAGAAAATATAGCATTATGATATTTAAACAGATTTCTAGCAGAATTCTGTAAAATTGGTGATCCTAGCAGAAAAAAATGTTGTACAAGTTTCAATCGCTTCAAACAAACCCTTGAACAGCGGGAATACACATGTAGGCAGGCCAGTCTATGAGTAGCAGCTCTCTGTACACCTACACACTGTGCAGTAAAGTACGTAATTGGAATTTTAGACGGACAAAATAGACACGTGCCAATTTAAAAAAAAATATTTAAGATTTCTTTTTTATGTTGGAGGTTTTGTGTAATTCTAGGTAATTTAGCAGATTTTTGTAAAATCTGGAAGATTTTTGAAATTGATTTAGCAGAATTGTGTGATTTTCATCTGGGATCGCTAGCCCTATGCAACATAAAACAATAAAACTACCAAATTATGATGGAAAACCTTACTTGACTGTACGCGAATAAGAGTCTCAAGCATCCTGTGAAATCATGGCACCAACAACCACCGTATATTACCTTTAACCTTCAAAGATACACACACCCCACTTTCAAATGTCATGTAATTGGAAGCAGAAATATTATTTTGTTGGCGCAATCACTGCAGGATGGACTGCAAACTTAACACAAAAAACAGGATTAGACTACAGTGTATTAGCAGGAGTTTGTGATGTGAAGCCTCGTCTTACATGGGCATACTGCCAAGGGACTTCTCCATTTGGTGATACAAAATACTCACATAAACTTTCTCTTATGGTTGCAGAGATAAGACTGTAATTGTTACTACCAAGGTGGTGGATCTCTCTCATTCCATCAGCTTCAGTAACTTCATCCCGCCAACCTCCTGGAGCAGTTGTACCATTTTCACTCTCAGCATCTGTGAAATTCTGCGGACAGTAATGCCTACTTTCTCCAGGTACGCGCTGATCGGCACCTTTTAACCAGTTGTGGAGGACATAAGTGGCCTTGACTATGGAGATGACTTTAGGGATGTTAGCATGGATGGGACGGCGAAATACTCGCCATCTTGCAGCTAAAATACCAAAGGTATTTTCGATAGTTCTTCGTGCCCGGGACAGCCTGTAATTAAAAATGGCTTTCTTCTCTTCCAGGTGTCTTCCAGGATAAGGCCGCATGATGTGGTGCTGAAGCGGAAAAGCTTCATCAGCTGTGAACACATACGGTACTTCTTCTTCACCCCCTGGGAGCCTTCTTGGTGCCGGAAGCTGTAGGCAACCGCCTTCAAGAGCTCGTCCAAAGCCTGACGATGCAAAAACACCACCATCGGAATTGCGACCTGGGCTGCCAACATCTAACATCGTGAAGCAAAAATTAGAATCGCAGGCTGCCATTAAATTAATGCTAAATGTATGTTTATAGTTAAAGAAGGTTGAACCAGAGAGGGCAGGACACTGGATAACAACATGCTTGCCATCTATAGCTCCACAGCAATTTGGGAAGTTCCATCTCTCTTCGAAGCCCTTGCTTATATTTCTCCACTCATCTGGTGTAGATGGAGCTACCATGGAAGAAGTACTGAGGACATCCCAGATGGCATTTGTTGTTTCCTGGATGATGCTACAGATGGTGCTTTTGCCAACCCGATAGTGGAGAGCAATAGACTGTTGGTCATTTCCAGTGGCAAGATATCTGTAATGAAATAAATGATACAAATTAAGGCCCCTGTTTTGTTTTGATCAAATTAGGGTCAAAAATGTTTTTTTATTGCTCAAAAATCACCTTTACAATCAAAAGCAGACTTCTCTCAATTCTAATCACACCCATTTTGAACGGATTCTTGGGGTAGAAATCAGGATTTTCCTGCGCAGTTTGTGCCTTGCAATTCAGCACGCCGTGTGTGCTCACTGTACATTGCGCGGTGATCGCCATCTTTATTTTCGAGTCGCATGTTGTCACCGCGCTGTAATGGTCATTTTACTCCCAAATTTCCCTCAAAAATCAAAACCCTGCCCCCTCTCATGACATACCTTTTTATTGAGAATGTTGCCAACTAGTTTGGTTGGTCCAGTTATTTTAAAGTGGATTTTGTTCCCTTTAAAGGAACCGGGCCCTTCACTACATGATCGCCAAAATTGAAATAAAATTAAAAATTAAAAATAAAATAAACCCCTTGTTTATCCTAAAATTAATGATTTATAATCGGAAATGTCTAAGTTGGAGAAATGCCAACACATGTTTCAGACTCACCAGTAATTACATGGAGTGGATATTTTTCGAGAAGACGCTGAGGAAAGAATGTTGCAACCTGACCGCTGAAACCACTTTTTTCTTCATCTCAATTAATTGGTCAATGAAAAAGTTGAAAAGACATGAATCTGAAGAACTTAAATTTTTTAGAAACATTTCCAATTTTCTCAGGAAATGTTTGACTCTCCATAGACTTTGTACTCAACTGTTGAAGTGACGTCAGGTTCCAACATACTTTCTGGTGCTGGTTTAGTTTAATATTAACTATTAAAGAAGCACGATCGCGAGACAGCTGCACAGTGCAAAGGAACATGGCGCGGCGGTATCCTGTTGGTTTGTTTACATATCAATCGCCCTCAAGAGTTTCCAGATAAAAAGTAAACAAAGGGGATAAGACATACCGGAGGGTCATCGACAGTCGTTCGACTTCACTTATCGGCCAGGCGTGGGTACGGTGATGATGAATTTTTGGGGCAACTAATTTCAACAAACTTTCAAACTGGCAAAGATTCATTCGAAATGAACTAAAAAACGTAGCGTGGTCCGCCAGTATCATCTCACGAACGAGCGTGTGGTGGGTTCCCTCCTGTTGCCGTAATTGATTTATCTCACGAACATAAATTGACCTCGGCTTATGCATTCTTTGTTTTCTTTTCCGCAAGAGATGCGCGGCAAGTAGAATTTGTTGAGGTGCAAGCCCTGCCATCGTTGTGGTTGTTGCTCAGAGAATTGCTAGTCGCGATAAAATTTCGTTTGCGGAAATTAGCAAGAAGTATGAACGAGATTTTTCGCTGCGATTTCATCGCGTAAATTCGCTGCAAAATATCTGCGCTCGCCCCGCGATTTCGCCGTCCAGAATTCGCTTCGCTTTCGCTTTCGTGCCGAGTATGAACCGGGCTTTAGGCAAACTTCTGGAACATCTAGTAATAGTATGACTAGTACTAGGACAACGTCGTTGCCACTTTCCGCCACGTCTACCACTGGCAGCGCAAATCATGCCAGCACCCCAGCCATGCCAGCTGCAGGCTCTGCAGCTGGCAGAAGACAAGCGCAGTCTCCAAGCATGCAGCTTTCATCAACACTGCCTGCCTCGTTGCCAGTTGCCTCTTCCACTGATATATTTTGCCTCGTTCTATATATATTTTGCCTCGTTCTATATATATTGGAGTTACGTTTTATATATATTTGAGTCTCGTTCTATATATATTGAAGTTACGTTCTATATAGTGGATGTTCGTTCTATATATATTGGAGTTACGTTCCATATATATTGGAGTTATGTTCTATATATATTTGAGGTAACGTTCTATATATATATTAGAGTAACGTTCTATATATATATTGGAGTTACGTTCTATATATATTGGTTTCGTTCTATATATATTGGTATCATAATAAAATCATAAAGGGCGCCTCATATGGATGTTGCACCAGTCAATTTGGGAATGAAAAAAAAAATAATTGTAAAACCAAAACGAAAGTGGGACCGACAACGTCCAAGTTGATAAGACTCGCGGTAGCTATCGTTACGGCAGTCAACTGTGGGGTTCTTTTACCTTAGAATATTCAACGTCCAGATCTTGGGGCTTTGGGAAAATACTCTCAGTGGAACGGTTTTAATTTTTTAAGATTTTATTCTCTTGCAAACAATTGTCTTAGGCCTGTTGCTGTAGTGGGTTGATATGAATATCGGGTGGAGTGAAGGCAGCCATGCTAGGGGGTAGGGACGCCGAACATGCCCAATTTTGTTTTTGAAATATATGATGCTTTTTTCTTCCTTAATTTTGAGGTAATTGAGAACAAACGGGAACTTCTAGGCCTTCCATTATATTTGTCTGGCCTTATTTTACTAGCATCACAAAATTAGTCAGCAGATTATGTTGGTAAACATTCTGGAAATAAATTCAACCAAACACTTTTGAAATTACTAGAACTTCGTCACCGTTTTTTGAAATTTTAAATATGTATCATTAAAATACTTATGGGTTTTTTGGCTAACCTGGTTGTTGTCATATTTTCTATCAGAAATCTAGAGCAAAGCGGTGGGAAGATTAAGAGGCCATTGCTCTCGCCAATTTTGTTAAAGAAAACGACCGGGAACTTTTCGAAGCAGTGGTGGGCTAGGAGTGGAGAATATCCAGAGAAAAGCATGGCAGATGGCTGAACAGATACTCAAAGCAGCTTGGGTAAAGGATCAGGGTGGGTGGGAGGCCATCAGGAAAAAGTAGGCGGACGTCAGCTAGATATAGGCCAAAATCTATCAACCGCAAACGCCTTGGTAAAAAAGGTGACAGGTGCGTGACTTAAGGAGAATTCGTACTAATGGCTATTTAGGTATTTGTATTCGTGCTCATTGAATTGAATTCAACAATTCTATATTCTCGATTGACACAGATCAGATGCATGATCTTTAATCCGACCGTTGTCAAACATTTTGAATAAATGACTGCTGCTTAGCTGAATGGGTGGATGTACAGGGTGATTAAAAATACGAAACCCAAATGTTAAGACCATTGGTTTATAGAAGTTCTGCATGTAGCATTATCAAAAAAAATATAAGATTGAAAAGCCCGATTTTAAAGCATTCCTTTAGAACAAGAATCATTTAAATCGCTTATGTTCTTTTCAAGTTACAGAATTTTAAACACAACTACCGTTTTAAGGTTCTGACCACGGATCACAAAAAAGATTAGTGTTCTTTCAACAAAATTACGTTGATTACTGATTACGTTGCCGTTTTTGATGAAGTGGTCAGCGGTACGGTCAGCGCAGTGCAAAAAGCTATATAGTTTCAACTTCAAAAATGTAAAAAAGAAAAGTGGAACTTGTTACTTTTGTAACAGCACAGTGGTGGAGCGTAGCAAAATCATGTTCGCCGTATGTTATGATGGCCAAAGACGGTTGAGTAGACAAATTTGTTTGGTCCTTGGTACGGGGTCGTAGTTTTACCAACTGCATTGAATAACCGATCAAAATCCTCTTTACAGTGCCAAGTGTGCATTTATTACTTAAAGTAACGGAGCGTTATAGATCCGGGAACATTCAGTGCAGTACGCACACCGCGGTAGCCCGCCGGTCACGCTGTCAATTACGTGTGAATCTCCGTAGCTCATTCTACTGTAAGTCAAAATGTGCGTGTTCTCACAAGTAGGGAAATGTACCAGGTACGGATGTATGGTTGTTCATTTTGTAAAACTTTTCCTCCAGAATGTTAAAGTAATATATCTTCTAGTTTAAAACTCAGTCTGCATTTATCTGAAAGTCTTGGAAACAGCCGTGAGGTCGTTTTTTTCTTTGCTTTGTGTAGAAGCGCTATGGAGTAGAGCGCGTCGTGTTCATGCCACTATATGTACGCGCGCGTGGTCGTCTATGGAAGATGAGACTGATCTGTTTGTAATGTGGTACTATGTATACATTACACGCGTGTTGTAAGGGTCTATGCCATTATAACTCATGGTCCATCTCTTCGGTCGCTGGACGTTTTTCTTCCTCCATGGTAAAATAAAGGACGCATCTAGAATCATTTCTTGTGCAGTTTTCTTATTTTATTTTAACGGCTCTTTTCAAGGTCAAAACATCATTTTATCTGTGATACAGAATTATTTTTCTCGGGAATACAGCACGGCTTGCGCCTAAAAGTGTAAGCCGAGACGCAAACAATAGGCCGTGATTGTTTTTACTTGGCTGCACGGCTGGCTACCTAAAAGCTTGCCCGGTAGCCTAAAAGCTTGCCCGCCCCCCCCCCCACTAAAAATACTAATTACTTGTACTTTCTCTTACATATTATTCTCAATTTATCAAGGGTGGGCGGGGGGACATTAATGTATTCAATTACGAGAAAATATTACTTCACACCTCTTTAACTCTACCTTATTTATTTTGCTTTTCCGGGGGGCAGTTGCATACATAACATAATTTCAATAAACAATTCAGAAGGTTGCAGACGCCTCCCCCACCACCCTACCCATCCACACCAAAAAAAAAAAAAAAAAAAAGGGCACAGCCTTTATATATATATTTTTTTGATCTAAAAGTTATGAGAACAACAATACCCGGCAAAACTTTCCGAGGCAACAGTGTTGTACTTAAATATTTACAATCCTTTGAACTTCAAAAAAGAATTGAATCGGTTTTCCGATGATGTTAAAGACATAGTCCATCATTTGTTATTTGTGCATTTTGTTCGTTGAAGCAACAAAAGTGTTCAAAATCTAATGAAGGATACTGAACAACTAACCTGATGAAGTTTCAGCTCAGCTTCAGCTGTATATTCCCAGAATAACAGCATTCTAGGATCTCAATTTAAAATCAAAAGTTGCTGAATCATGTTTGGAGTTGCAGCTTTACGCGATGTCGCGCACTGATCCGATGAATTATAGCAACTGCGCGCGCCAGTGCGTCGTGCCAATGCTTGAGCGCGCTGCGCCGTATAACAAAACGAACTACCAATTTAAATTTTCCTACGGTGCTTTTTGAGACGCACCGTTGAAAATGCCTTCTTTTATTGATTTCTTCAAAATGAGAGCTTGTCAGAAAAAACAATGTCACAGAGAGTTTCGTCCCTTTAAAGTCTTTCAACCAGTATGTTTTTCAACAATAATTACGCCAGTTACTTTTTTTGGTAGCTATATGTTGATAGCCACCTTTGTAGAGTAAGATATTGTTTGTCAAAAGATGTGTTTATTACTTATAGCTAGGTCAAAATGCCTAAATCGTGCAAAAAAGTTTGCATGATTATGACACAAAGGGATACCTAAACAATTATTGGTCTCGTATTACCAGTAACTTACTAGAAAACAATATAACTTTTTGTTGGACATTCGATTAATGCTTTATTCAAAATGACGACAACGTAATAATGTTAGCATCATTAATGACAGTATCATCTGTACCAAGATCAATTTGTTCAGTTGGTTTCGAGATAATTGCAGATCAGCATTTAAGCACAAAACCGCGTACTACATTGTTTTAAAAATAAGCCTACATGTTTATAAAAATGAATCTTAAAAAAAAATAGATATGCAATATTCCATACACTTTACAGTCATTGAAAGTATGTAAAATACCCACTTTAAACATCAACAGACATCCTTATAGGCATACGTACCCAC